TCAGAACTCATTCTATTGCTTTGTTATTGTTTTTTCTGTTAATTTTTGTATTTTGTATTTTTTAATGGTTTTTCTTGTTTTAAAAGAATAAAATATGGCTGATGATTGGCAAAGGGCATGAAACTTCAAGTACCATCAAAAAGTTGTATTTTTTCAAATAATCAAACTCTATTATTATTATTATTGATCTATTTTGTAAACACTTACATTATATTGATCACTCTCAAACGAACAAGAGACTTTTGTATCTTAATTTGGTACAATAAAACAACAATATATATATATATATACATATATATATATATATATATATATATATATATATATATATATATATATATATATATATATATATATATATATATATATATATATATATATATATATATATATATATATATATATATATATATTTATACATATATATATATATATACATATATATATACACATATGCATAACACATATATTATGCAGGAGTTGTATATTATATATTTATAACTAATAGTATATATGCTATATATACACAAGTTTATACATATATATACATATAATTCATGTTAAACAAAAACAATTAAAGAATGTTCAAATAAAGTTTAGCAATTTACAAACAATTGCAATAAAATACTTATTATAATCTAATAATAATAATATGAAATATTATATATATAAACAACATAATATTTTGAAGTTCTTATAAATTGATGTGTGTGTGTGTGTATGTGTGTGTGTGTGTGAGTATGTGTGTGAGTATATATATATATATATATATATATATATATATATATATATATATATATATATATATATATATATCAATAATTTATAAATCGTTAAATTTCGCTACAAAATAATCAACCTTATCTAATTTCTTATAGAAAAATCTTGTGCAACAATTATACAATTTTCAAAGGTTATTTAAATTCGCGCTTTTTTCACAAATATTTTTATGATGTCATATTAATATGTGATGAAATTATTCTAACTAACATAATGGTAAACATAACAGTTAAACATAACGCCTTGCATTTATATACAAATATACAAATAACTGTGGCTAACATAACGCTTCAGACATATTTTTTACTAATATAACGGTAAATGTAACGCCAAACTTTTCATTTATCCTTATGTTACTGCTATGTTAGCATTATATTTTTTGCTGTGTATGGTAAAAAAAGTTTTAAGTAACTCATAACTCACTACGGCAAACAAAAATTTCAATCAACAATTTCAGAGCAATGCACAATCAAATTCCAGATATCTCAGAAACAAACAAGTTTAAAAAATAAAAAAAAATGTTTGAGTATCAAAATCATGTTATTTACTAAATGCCAAAAATGGAAAAACAGTTTTGATATTCCAGCTGTATTTCTTCAATTTTTGTTTGTAGTCATTTACTGAATTTTGATTTCATCTGAAATAAAAATTCAATAAATGGCTAGTAAACTTTTATTCATTTAAAAGCTGGTTTAAATAAATTTTTTTACTTGTCATTGATGATATTTTAAGGTGCAATATAAATGTATTTTATCTCAAATATCATATAATACAATATTTTAATATTTAATTCAATTTTAAAACACAGTAAGTTTATTTAAAATTTACTAGGGATGTACCAAAGCTGAAATTTTGCCAAAGCCGAAGCTTCGGCCGAAGCCACTTTGCCGAAGCTGAAGCTTCGGCACTATATATGCTTAAAATTTAATCAGCATTCAGATCAGCAGGGGTGTAAAACAAAAAAGGTACCAAAACTAAGGTCCTTGACTAATAATATAGAAAAATTGCATAAAAATGAGGACGCCAGTCAGGGTTGCTGTTCAAGGCAGGGCAAAAGCTCTCAGCGCCCCTGTTTAAAAGTTTCTCATTATGTCGTTTCTGATACTTGACCGCATCGAGCGTTTTTTTTTTAAACTTAAGCTTTTTTGAAACATTCTCCCCAAATTTTCCTACTTCTAGTTCTACTTTTTCTGTGTGCAAACCATATTAATGTTATATAGCATTTTTTCATGTGCTGTATATTTTATTTTTATTTTTAATGCACCTTTTGTTAGATAGAAGTGGATAAAAATCTCTGAACATTACTAGAGTAAATTTATCTTTTGCACTTGATCACTCTTTCTTTAAATAAACACTCTTAGCTGATCTAGTTGTATTTACAACATAAAAAATCTTAGAAACACACTTAATCTTTTTATTGCTATTTATTTCAATATCTTTTTTTTTACTTCTCTGTATTCTTTAAATGAACAATTTCTAAACTAAAAAAAACCCAAGTTAAGACCATTTTGGATTCCACTACAACTGTTGTGCTCCTGCTGTTAAAAAAAAGTACAAATGATAGATTTCTCTCTAACTTCTTTTTTACACACTTTTAAGTTTTTTTTTTTTGATTATTTTCAACTTAACACTACATAACATTTTCTATAGCTTTTTTTAATCTTTTATACTTTGAGATCTTAGTATTCATTCTTCTTCTGTCTCTATAATGGATAAATCTGCATCAGTATCTGAAATCAAATATTAACTATCTGTGATAAAAACTTCCAAAGTAATCTAACAACTTTGTAGAGTGAGCTTTAAATAAAATAATAAATAGAATACTTTATAAATTTTTTATTTATAATTATATTATTATTTACTTTATATTTATAAATAAACAGGGACTGAGCAGGCTGATATTTATTTGATTTAAATTGTTTATTTAATTTAAATAAATTTTGATGATAAATATAAGAGTTCAAAGTAATCAAAGCTTCAACCTTTAATTTATTTTAAATAAAATTTAAAAGTCTTCATAATATCATAAGAAGAAACCAGAATATTGGTTTATATTTTTAATATATAAATTCAATTTAGAAGTATTCATAATAATAATAAAAGAGCAAGGATAGTTATTATCATTGTTTTTCTTTTTCTTTTAATTTATCTATTTTTTGTTGGCTTTTTTTTTTCTTTTTTTATTCTCCTCGTTTATATTTCATTTGCTTTTCTTCCTTTTTTGTTGTTGAGAACTTTTTGTTTTTTATGTGTCACTCCATTGACTATTTTGTATCTATATAAGTGACACCTAACCAATTTCTGTAAATTTACGATGAAAATTTGTAAATTTTTATTAATATGGTTAAATAAAATTTTAAAAAGTTAAACATACACACAATTTAAAATAGTAGCAACCTATCTTTAATCTTCTTTAAAGAGAGATTACTAAGGTTTATCGGTCAAATGTTGAAACCAAATTTTGTTCTATTTGCGGTAATCCCACACAATAATTAATATGAATTCGTTACATAATACAAATTAAGGTTTTAAAAACTTTTAATTTGTTTTAAATTATAAGGTTTTTATTCTGCATAGAAATGCTGCTTCAGTTCATCTAAAGTCACACTTGGAAGCTTTCAAAGTGTATGAGGACCTTCCTTAATTTTATAATTTTTTTCAAAATATTTTTACTTATTTTTTATTATCCACTCCATAACAAGACACTTGGGAGTAAAAATACTAAGTATATGGTATAGACTCCAACTTTAACTCTGTAGTCCTAAATTTATAACTTTATTAGGACAATGGCAATTAGCTTATTTTTATAACTTGTCCCACAGTAGCTTATAACTTTAATTACTTAAAATTTTTTGCCGAAGCCAAAGATTCGGCAAAAAATTGACCTGGCTTCGGCCGAAGCGAAGCTTCAGCAAAATTGCCGAAGCTTCGGCACGCCGAAGCCGAAGCTTCGGTACATCCCTAAAATTTACACAAAAAAATGTATTTAATGATAAATATTATATTATATAAATTAAATATGAATTTATGAACAAGAACAAAGATATAAACATTTATGTAAAAAGTTCTTATTTGTCCCTGTATGGAACACTGTTGTCATCTTCTAATGATGCTCTTTCTCTTCTAGACAAGGTCCAAAAACGCATTGTAGACGCAGTTGGGCCCACTCTATCTGTTAAACTTGAGCCTTTTTCCAATTGCCGTAAAGTTGCATCTCTTTTCCTTTTCTACATATGGTCTCGCTGATATGTAGAAAAATGCTGCTCAAAGGAGCTATTATCTCTAGTTCCATCAACTGTTTAACTCATTCTCGATTGACTCATAATTCAGCAAAGTCTCATTCTTTTTCTGTGTCTGCCCTAGCATTCTCTATAAAATTTTATTTGTCTAGTTTTTTTACCTGTACTTCAACCCTTTGGAATTCTCCCCTATCTTCATGTTTTCCTGGCTTATACGACCTACAACTTTTTAAGTCTTCTGTCGACTCACCTTTTCCTTGTTCTGCAACTGCTTGCAGCCATGTTGCAGAGTAAATCAGAATAAAATAATAAAAAAAAAAGCTTGATTTTTTTTTTTTATCAACTGTTCTTTTTAAAGTTAACTATAAAAAAAAATCACACATCACCCCACACTATTTTTAAATTTGGTTTGCTCTTTACAATAAGTGTATTTTATGGTTATGTACAGGAAGCTAAAATTGTTAAAACTGTTATTTTACATATTTTATGGAATAAATAATAATAAAAATAATAATAACTGATAAAATTCAGGAAATAAAAAACAATTAAAAGTCATGAATAAAAAAAGTAATGAATAAATTATTAGTCTTTATAGTATCCTGTATATAACCATAAAATGCATTTAAAAAAGGGGTATGGTGGGGATCAAACTTGGAACTTTTGGTTATATAGCGAGCGCTCCATTTTAGTTGCTGTATCACTTCATAATAAGCTGTTTTTTATTCTTTTTTATTCTACTAACAAGAATTTTACTAAAATGTTATTTTGTTAATATTATAGCAATTAATATTGTGATTTTTATATTTTTGTAATTTCATTGTATTAAATCAAAAAACTTAAATACAATATTATGTTTAACATATTTTTTTCTTCGGGATACTGCAGATAACTTTTGTATTGTAAAATTGTATGACCATCGCTTCAGATATATTTAAACCTAAATATATTCAAAAAGTATATTTGGATTTGCTTTTTTTTTAGTATGCTGTGCAAGAAAGCAGTTTATACAAATATGCAGAAGTTGAGTTTCCTATTAATGGCCAGCATGTATTTACAAAAGTTGTTGCTTATGAAGATAATCTTTATTTCTCTGGAAACAAATTTGTTAGTTTTTTATTTGAATTTTACATATTGATTTATATAAATTACTCAAGTTGTATAAATATTTCTGTTAGAATAAGCTTTCTCATAAAGAATTGGAATTCTTTTTTAATTATTTATTTTACTAAGTATTTAGGCATTTTATAGATTGTAAAATAATTTTCTTAATTTAATATAATAATATAATTTCAATTGATTTTATTCATATAGTGTCACATGGTTTGTTGTAGCCCTTGTAATTAGTTTGGACATTCTCAAAATGATTTAATCTTGTGATAAGGTTTCTATAGAAAATTAATTAAATTGATTTCTTCAAATTTATAGTACATAAAAAATATCCAATTTTATATTGCATAAAACATACCTAGTTTTTATATTGCATAAAAGGTAATCAGCTTTTATATTGCATAAAGCATACCAGTTTTTACATTGCATAAAACATAACCAGTTTTTATATTGCATTAAGCATAGGCCAGTTTTTTATTATTGCTGTTTTACAGTTATTGTGTGAAGCAGCCTGTTTTTATAAAATATGTACAGTGTGTTAAATTTATTTTTGATAAAATATGTTAAATTGTATAAATATGAAAATTTTATTAAAATATGGAATATAATAATGCTTAATAAATGCATTATATAGATCTTGTGAGTGCACTTGATAAAAAATCACTTTTAAGAGTAGTTACAAAGTCTATATCAAATAACCTTGACAGAATAAAGGATAACCTTGACAGAATAAAGTAACCTTGACAGAATAAAGTAAATTAGTAACATTGCACTATAGGTCAAAAAGTGTGACACTGAAACAGTCTATTAATGAGCACCTAATTTTCATAATTAACATCATCTATAACTTTTTTTAAAATGTGTTATTTTATTTTTGTGCTAAATCTTTGCTTCTCTTGCTTTCTTTTTTTTAAATAGTTTTTTTAAAATGCAAGTGAAATAACCTGTAAAAATTTTTGTATATGTAGATAGCTCGTGTATCAATCAATAACTGCACACGACGCAAAACTTGTTTGGCTTGTTTAAGTGGATCATTATGTGGATGGTGTACTCTTGAGAATCGGTAATTAAATTTATGTACCCACTAATTAAAAAAAAAAAAATTCCTTGGTAATGTTTGTTTTTCTAATTTATCCCAATTAACAAGTACTTGTTCATAAATGTTTATATATATATATATATATATATATATATATATATATATATATATATATATATATATATATATATATATATATATATATATATATATATATATATATATATAAATTATGATTCGTTGCTGAAACCAAGTGATTTTGGTACTTGAAAAGTTTTTATTTTTTCTACATTAAAACTTTTTCAATTCATAAAGAGGAGAGGGGAGGGGTATTTCAACAGTGTATGTAGTCTTTATGGAGATGGGATTTAAAAGTACACATTGCAACAGGAGGGGAGGGATGATCAAGTTTTAAAATTTTTGCCAGGCGTACTTTATGGATGACCCCTAACACAATAAAGTTATAACAATAAAAAATTATACCTTTAATGTTAATGTATCTCAATTTTTGATAATCAAAGTGAGAAAAAGTCCTATCATTAGCAACATCTACAAGTAACCTTTAGTTCTAATTTCAACTTTCTAAGTTAGTTGATAATTTGTGTGTTTTTAGAAAATACACTGAAAAAATTAAACTAGTATAAAGAAAAAATAAAAAATAAACAAAGCATAGCTAAAAAGAGAAAGAAACTTAACAAATGGTAAAGTAAAAGATAAACCGTAGAAAATAAAAACATAAAATTAATGTATTTTAAAATATATGAATAAATAAAATATATAAATAAATGAAATATTTTTTAATTTAGAAGCGTCTCAATAAAAATTAATAGTTTAAAGCTGATAACTTTTCCTATATCACTTCGTTAATGTAGCGTTTAGGTTAAAAAATTGTGTCACTTATAAGGTGCAGCTGTTATCGGCATTGGATGAGGATTTAAACTCTACTGACGGATCTTTTTAATGATTTATTTACTTTGTAGACATTTAAAAATATCAGAATTACAAATTTTAAAATAGTTAAGTTTCGAAGTAATTAAGCTAAGAAATTAAAAAAAAAAAACACACAACAAAGTAATTAAATAAAAACCTATTTTATTTTTATGCTTTAATTTTTTCTGGGTAATTTTTTATTCATTATCATTCCTTGAGACTTTTATTTTTTTAGTTTAGTTTCTTATTTTTTATTTATCATACCAGTTTATAGTTTGTTCATTTTTAATTTTAATAAAAATTATGTTCTGTATTGAAGCTTCATTTTCTAAAACAAAAATATTAAGTAAATTTTATAATTTTGGATAGATTACAATCTATAACAATCTATATATGTGATATCAAATTTATAATTTACTTACATTTGTACTTGTACCTGCATAAACTCAAAATTTAATTTTTAATTCAATTCTATTTGTACCTGTAAACCTGCAATAACTCAAAGTTCAAATAGAGGTTTAAAATCAATATTTACTTTCTATATCAAGAATGTTGTTAAGGTTTTTTTTATAAACATTAAGCACATTTTTTTATTAATAAGTATAGATTTTTTTAATCTTTTCAAAAATAGCAAAACTGAATAAGGTTAAACATGCAAGTAAATTAGAAATAAATTTTGCTATCTATTGAAGTACTAATTGCATCATATTGAAGTAATTATTGAACCATAGTAAACAACTTAATTTTAAGTTAAAGTATTTTATATAACAACTCATTGAAAATTAAAATAGTTATGGAATCCTAAATTCTAAAAATTAATAACTGTACAATGTTTTCAAAGACACTATAAATTGGCATCACTTACTACTTTTATGAAACAATACTTTTTTTACGGTGTTAAAAACAACTTATTTGAAATAATTTTTTAAATGCAATAAAGTCTAAATTATGGTTTTTCAAGCAAATTTGTATACAATTTTAAGATTTGAACACATTGTTAGTATAAAATGTATTTTGATTTATTATAAGAAATTATAAGAAGAAATTTTAATAATACAACTCGTTGGAAATTTTGTTTTTTAAACTTCAACTTTAAAAGTTTATAAAATGTATTTAAAAAAGTGTTTTGTTTAGATAAAAAGAATAATGATAAGTTAAATCAATATATATATTTCTAATTTTGATAAATATTTTAACCTATGCGGTAGTGGTGTAGTGGTAGAGCGCTTGCTTCATAAACGAGTGGTTCGGAGTTCGATCCCCACCACGTCCCTGGTAGTACCGCGCTCAACTCGTTTCTCCGCGCAGCGGCCTTGTTCGTCAAGGTTCGTGTTTCGGAGTTATAGAGTTGAGAGAGGGTTATAGCCACAAAATAAGTAGCCTCCTCGTCTGTAGTGGCCTTCTCGGCCTTAAGGAGGTGAAGTAAAATAAAAAAAAAAAAAAAAAAAAAACCTGCTTAAACATTTTAAAATTTGATTTAATGAGGCCTGTTTCATTACTTTTTTTATTAACTGTTTTCTTACTTCTTACATTTTATGTCAGCATAAAGAAGCCAACTCTAAACATAAATATCAGGAAAAATAAGTGTGGGAGCTAGGTATGGCCCCTCTAAAATAAACTCAGCAGGCTACTGTTTTTTCTTTATTCCAGGGGTAGTATTCGTTTTTTTTAGTGATAAAAAGGTAGAAAAAGAGACATTTAAAAAATTATTTTAATTTTATCCTAACATTTTTTGCTTAAATTAATTTTTGTATTATTATTTTGATATTTATTTAATAATGGGAGCACAGCGAATTGTTAAAAAAAATGTAGTTACTTTTTTTTTGCACATGCTAAATTAAATTTTTTTATTTTTAATTTAAAAAAGAAACTGTTCAAAACTTGAAGTTTGCGATTCATGTTAAAGTTCATGTTTGAAGATTTTAAAGAATAACTAAATAATAAATTCCAACATATTTAACATTTTCTAACTAAAAAGTTTATATTTTTTATATATGTAGATTACATGCCTAATAGAATAATGTATTATGTTTATATGTATACATTAAAGTCTATTATTAGCCATAATTGGCATTTTCATTACTAATATATATACTAACATGTATTAACTATCAAATTAATTAATAATAATTCTTTATTGACAACATTTAAACAGTTAAATGTCAAGCCATCTTGAAAAATATGTATTTGTTTTAATAAATTGTTTGTTTTTCTGTGGCCTACTATGACATACATTAAAATAAGTTTATCACATACTGCAGAATAGCCAGTCAAAAAAGAAGTCATGGATCAACATAGTATGTTCATGGATCAACATAGTATAATCATAAACACTAAATTATTTTTAATTGTAACAAAAGGAGATTAAAAAATGTGATAAAATTCAAATAAATACGTGATGATAATAAAAAAGAAAAAAAGAATTTAAATTTACTCTTTGATGTAATAAACCCAATTAATAGAAAGAAACCATAAATGTATTTTATCAATAATTTTATTTTATTAATAAATTTATTTGTATTAAGGTGTACACTTCGAAGTGAATGTTCAAACAACTTGGAACCCCTGCGATTTATTAATGAAACTAGTGATACTTGCCCATCTGTAATAAATATTGTACCTGATGTTGTTGAAATTACATCTAAAGTAAAGGTAAGAATGTTTTTTGCAATTTTTGTAATAAAGAATTTTTTTTTAAATTTTGTTTTATATAACAAACTAATATAACATTTTTAAATTTTTTACAGCAATTTGTACTTGTGTTTACTGTAGTTAGTTATGTTTTTTTTTTTTTTTTTAAACTTTTCAAAAAGTATTATCTATTTTAGATCAACTTAACAGTTTTGGGTGTTCCTATTGATGTAAATTACAAATGTTCATTTAATGGATTGATTACTTCTTTGGAAAGATATAATACTGTCTTTATATGTTCTTCTATTGACATGAAAATAATTCCGAATCTTAAAATTGAAGATGGTAACATTAAAAAGATATAATATATTTGTTTTTTATTGTTTTATTTTCAATAAATCTTAAATAGTTTAAAAAAAAAAAGAATTATAAATTTTTTAGTTACATTTTTGCGCAAACAGTATGGTTATATACTAACTGATAGGTTTTATTGTGTATAAATATATGTGGAGAGGTTAAGGCTCTTGACATTTTTAAAGCTTTTGATAAAGTTTGGCACGCAGGTCTTTTCCATAAGCTTTCTTCTTACAGTGTATGAGGTAACATCTTTAAAATTATTGAATCCTTCCTTACCAATTTTAGTATAAAAGTTGTCCTTGATGGACAGTACTCTTCTTCATATCCTGTAACTCCAGGAGTTACTCAAGGTTCTATCCTTGACTTTATGCTCTTTTAAATTCACATTAACAATTTCCAGATATTCTCATTTCTAAGATGGCATTATTCACTGATGGTACTACCATTTATTCTTGTCGTGATAAGAAGCCAAACTTCTCTGATTGCTTGGAGGCGGCATTTGAGCTTGAAAAAGATCTCACTTCAGCTATAGCATTGGGTTCTCAGTGGCTGGTGAACTTTAATTCAGATAAATCTCAATTTTTTTTCAGCTAATCGTGATCGCAATAATCTAGATTTTCTTATATTTATAAACAGTAATGTACTCAATGAGTCATCTACCCTTCATCTACCAGGATTAACTCTTACCTCCAATTTTACTTGGAAACCATATATATATATATATATATATATATATATATATATATATATATATATATATATATACATATATATATATATATATATATATATATATATATATATATATATATATATATATATATGTATATATATATATATATATATATATACATATATATATATATATATATATATATATATATATATATATATATATATATATATATATATATATATATATATATATATATATATATATATATATATATATATAATACAATAATCTGCACATACACATACATACACACACACACACATATATATATATATATATATATATATATATATATATATATATATATATATATGTTACATTTAACAGCATAATATATATATATATATAAATTTATTTATGTTTTTAAATAATACATATTTGCTTTTATATAATATAATTATCATTTTTGAAATTTTCATACAATTTTGCTAAATTTGAAATCCAATATGATACACTTTTAAATAACTTTTTTTTTCATATTAGGAACTTGTTAAATGTTCAAGAGTCTTGAGGGACCCCTTAAAATATTTTTTACTCAAAATTTTTTAAATCCAGTATTTTTTAATCATACAGAACACATTAAGGGTTTGGCAGCATATATTTTTTGAAAATATTGTCTTTTAAGATACCCTAATATATATATTATATCTAGGCTATTGTATTGTATTTCAAAACATGTGCAGGTTATTGTATTGTATATATATGCAGGTATTATTGTTCTATCAAGTTTATAATTTCTGATTTGAGAATAAATACAACTTTATTTTAAACTTTTTATTTTAGGCATTGGCACAGTGAACTTATCGATTGTTACTGAAGAACCATTAGATCAAAATGTTAAGAGTGTTGTTGATACAACATTTACTGTATTTATTTGTGCATCATTTAAAATGTAAATATAATTTTTTTTTTTGTAAAGCAATGATTAAGAAAATTTATTTTATTTTTCTAAAGAGTGTGAAATAGACTCAAGGGTAGATAAAGAAAATTTCTGAATTTTTTTAAAATAAAAGTATTTTTATAAGTTAGAAATAAAACTTGCTTTGAATTTAAAATTAAATTCAAAGAAAGTTTTTTTGTTTAACTTTTTTCTTGTTTTTAGGTGTACAAAATGTATAACTAGTGCAAATTCTTGTGGCTGGTGTGTTAGAGATATGAAATGTGTAGACAAAGAAGAAAATTGTCCTACCAAGCAAGAATGGCTTCCTCATATTGGGGTACAAGTTTTAAATTAAATCTATTGTTTAAAAAATAGTAAATAATATTTGTAACTAATCAGTATTCTAAACACAAGTATAAAAAGTTTGTTATTAACAGTTAGGCCAAAGCTAAATGTTTAAAAATTAAATAAATGTTGATTTTTTGATTACATTAAAAGCTACTTGTAAAGCAATTATAGGTTGAATAACTTTTTATTGGATTTGTTTTTAACAAATTCAGATAATTGTTTTGTGTGTATGTAAAGCTTTTAATTTAATTATGGGAAAGTTTAGAATCATAAATCTTGGATGGTAATTTTTGTAGTGGTTCAATAAGAATCTTGGATGGTAATTTTTGTAGTGGTTCAATAAGAATTTTTGTAGTGGTTCAATAAGAATTTTTGTAGTGGTTCAATAAGAATTTTTGTAGTGGTTCAATAAGAATTTTTGTAGTGGTTCAATAAGAATTTTTGTAGTGGTTCAATAAGAATTTTTGTAGTGGTTCAATAAGAATTTTTGTAGTGGTTCAATAAGAATTTTTGTAGTGGTTCAATAAGAATTTTTGTAGTGGTTCAATAAGAATTTTTGTAGTGGTTCAATAAGAATCTTGGTACAATTAGAATCTTGGTCTGCAAACCTTACTATGGAAACCTTTTCAAACTATTTAAGTGTAAAACCACCTATATTAAGTTTTAAAATTTGGTGGATGTATGTATGTATGTTTCAATCTGTCAACTTGTTTCTTGGCGCAGCAGCCTTGTTTGTTAAGATTTCTGTTTCGGAGTTATAGAGTTAAGAGAGGGTTGTAACTACAACTAAATTAACCTCCTCAACTGTAGTGGCCTTCATGGTCTTGGGGAGTTGAATTGATTAAAAAAAAAAAAAAAAATGTATTTATGTGTGTATTTATATTAAGGTGTTCTGGAACCAGTAAATGCCGGGTTCCCCATTCCGGGTACCCAGTGGTAAAAACCGGGCTGAGACCAGGTACCCTGCACTAAGTCTATTAAAAAAAGTAAAATAATAAAAATTTAATCAAATAAAAAATAATTTAGATAACACTTTTTTTACTGTATTTCATTTTAATTTCTTTTATGATATTTTGTTTGTAACAAATGAAAAATATTATCATTGTTTGAAATGATAAAAAAGTAGATCAAATAATTTTTCCGACAATAATTGAAAACTTCATTTAAACAGAATTTAGATTTTTAAAAACAGCTAAATAATAATTAAAACCCCTAAAACTATGCAATATTTTTTTGTTTTTAGCAGCCATAGTGCAGTGGTAGATTGGTCGCCTCAGAAACAAGAAGGAATACGCCCCCTCTCATTTCTTAGGGGGCACATCTCTCCCCCTACTTTATTTTGTGTGGACCTTTCTTTTCTTAAAGAAGTTTACAATTTTTATAAGAAATTAACCAATTTTTATAAGAAATTAACCAATTTTTTCAAAATGAGGTGGTGTTCCCCCCACCTTGAAAACTGTGTCGTCAGCCCTGCGAAAACCATTGATTTCTTGCCAACTTCCCAAACTTTATGGGAAAAAATTCAGTTAAAAATTATCTATGTTGGTTAAAAGGTTGTTGGTTTAAACGTTTTTTTATTGTAAACAATCATTTAGCAAAAACCTTATTTAAAAACAACCTAGGCATAGTATTAAACTCTCATTTATTTTTTGCAATTAAAATTACGAAAAATGAATAAAAGTTTAATACTTTGTGAATCTATTTCTCGCGTTCTAAGCAATAAAAAGAAGCAATTACTTGTTGTTCTTTTTCTTTCTTTTTATTTTTTTCGTATTCTCATATTATTTTGTTTTACTTTGCGGTTTTTATATCTGTATAAATCAGTTTACTTTTTGCAATATTATCTGCTATCAATGTTTTGCAATACAATATAGCAAAAATATATTCGAAAATATATGTATGTATGTATGTATATATGTATGTATGTATTTATGTATGTATGTATGTATGTATGTATGTATGTATGTATGTATGTATGTATGTATGTATGTATGTATGTATGCATGCAGACCTTGGAATGAATCGGGAGCGATCATTCTCGTCACAGGAAACACTCTCGTTAATGGAATATTTATAAATTGCAGGCGCGTTCAAAAACTTAATTCGCGTGCGTTTTTTTAAAATGCTCAATATTGATTGAGGTAAATTGATTCACTTTCATTCAAATTTTATAAAAATATTCTTCCAAGTGATATCCCCTTCTTTATATTGATAACATTCAAATATAAAACGTAATGTTTGCAAACAAAAGGTATAATTGTAGATCCAAATCTATAGTAGAAGAGAAAAGCCACTTCATTGTCAGCAGAAGCAAATTTTACATCTTATAAATTTTAAAATTTGTTTTAGTTATTCAAGGCTTCTTTTATTTAAAACGAATAATTATTTATTTATCTTAATATATATCAAGTAAATGTTTTTAATGTTCTTTGTTTTATGTTTAAATGTAAAACCAACTCATATCCAGCTCTATGTTTTAAAGTTCTTTGTTTTATTATTAAATGCATTACTTATTATGCATTATTATTCTTTGTTTTATTATTAAATGCATTATCTCATGCTTTTTTTCTTGATTTATATTAAAAACAAAATTAATATGCTTTCAAAATAATAATTGCATTAAACAACCTGTTTTCTAAACAAACTTCGGTAAATCTTGCATTTCTTTTTGAGATGCTTTTTTATGGAACCAAATAATTTTAAGAAATTTTGAATTTTCTCATGAAAGAACTATCATTTGTTCAAAAGAAAACTAGAAGTTATTTTTTTAATCAAAATTATACTGATATATCCAAGTCATGCCCAATTATGTTTTAATTTATACAAAATAATTTTGAAATGTGAGAAATTTAAATTTATTTGAATTTTGTTAAAATTTGAAATTATTGTTTATTTTGTATATTATTTTATTTTTATGTTTATGCTGCATTATTTTCAGCAGTAGTTAATGTAAAGACCTAGACTGCAAACATCTGCATTTTATTTTATATATATTAGTAGACTTTTAATGTTCACCATGTTAATTTTTACTAACGGGTGGTTACTAAAAATGCAGACATATTTTCAAGGGACATACTTTCAATTACTCTAATAGTTTTTAGAGTAGTGATTAAATAAAAATAGAGCTTTTAGTTATTTATTTTAATTAAGTTTGTCTTCAACCAGTCTGTTTCTTTGGATTCGACCAAAGATGAGTTGACCTAAAAAATTAAAATTAGGGTCAATTTTTTTCAGACAAAGCTTTATTCTGGTTTGTAGTTGCTTCATGTTTTTTCCTTGCCAGTTACCCTCATACACTTTGCCTTTTAAAATAGCCCAAAAGTCTTCAATTGGGCTGTACCGGCCCAATTGAAGACTTTTGGGTTCACTTCACTCTATCACCTTTCTCTTTGTTCTATATTGCTCTCATTCATCTCAAGACTCTTTTTAATATTATTTCTGATCAAAATGATCAAGCCCTTTCTCTTTATCCTTCAGTCAATATTGTTGTTAGTGGCAACTTTAATGCTCATCACACTGAATGGCTTGACTCTAGTGTCAGTGACTCTGCAGGCATTAAAGCCCACAACTTTTGCCTTTCTCAATCTCTAACTCAAATAGTCAACTTGTAAACCGCTCTAACTCGCTTTACAGACAAACCGAATCATTTACCTTCTCTACTCGACTTATGTCTTGTTTCTGATCCTTGTCAGTGCTCAATTTCTCCACATTTACCCTTAGGTGCTTTTGATTATGGTTTGATCCCTCTAAAACTATTATCTCATTCTTCTTCATCATCAGAATCCTCCTATCATCGTACATCTTACAACTACTTTGAAATTGACTGGGACTCTTTCCGTGATTCTTTTTGTGAAATCTTTCATCTTCCTGCTGATAAATTGGCTTCTTATTTAACTTCTTGATTCTGGCTGGCATGAAAACTTTTATTTCCTCTCAGTGATTCCAAGTCAAGCCTCACTTTTCTTCATGGTTTTCCTCTCATTGTGCTGCTGCAATTTCCAGTCGTAACCATTACTTTCATATCTATTGCCAAAACACTTTTCCAGAAAACAGACGTTGGTTTGCTATTGCTAGAAACCATTGTAAAAAAGTTTTGTCTAATGCTAAAGCCTGCTATTATCAGGTCGTATAGACAAGGTGGAAAAACGCAATCATTACCACATCGTTGTTATGTTGCTTCTCTTTTTCTTTTCTATAAAATTTTTTCTATAAAATTTGGGTTATAAAAGCTAGCGTCTCTTGTGCCATTTACTAAAGTTCATTTTTGTTTTACTGGTCATTCAATCATTCTCATCCTTTTTCTGTGACTGTTCTAAAGTGCTCTGCAAATTCTTATTCGTCTAGGATTGTTTCTCAAACATCTCTTTCATGTTGTCTGTTAATTGTTATCTTGCTTTATAAACTTCATCTTTTCTCTTCCAGTTACTTCCAATTCTAATAGTGTTTGCTTGAAACCTTGTTGGTAGTGAAGTTTAAAAAAAAAATTCTATTAAATAAAAATATTTACTATCTAAAGCAGCTATTATACAAGCTGCCTTGTTTGTCAAATTTTGTGTTTTAAAGTTATTCATTTTTACTGTTGTAGTCTTTTCAATCTTGAGGAGGTAAACACATTAAAAATTAAAAAAAAATTTTTAAAGCATTTTCAATAATATTTATTTGATTTTTTAGAATTTTATTTACTTTTTGAAACATTTTTACAATATTTTTTTAATAAAAAAAACAAACATTTTAAAATAAAATAGTTTAAATTTATTTTAGCCTGGTGCATCAGATATAAAGTGCCCACTAGTAATCAATATTCAAAATTCATTATATTCTAATGGTTCAAATAATGATATTCATTTGACTGGTCGAAACCTTCTTAAACCAGAGGTAATTTCTTTTTGCAAATTTGAGTCGGCTATCTTTCAGGATTGTCACAATATTCACATTGATTAACATCAACTTATTTATTCAGCAAATCATTTATATTATTTAGTATCAATTTATTTTTTCATGACTTTTTTTTTCTTTTTTTGTTTAGGATGGTAAGAATTATCATTGTGATTTTAAAATGACTTCTGAAAAAAACATTAGATCATCAGCTCGATGGATAAGTGAAACGCAGATCATCTGTGAATCAACTGAGGTTTTCGGTTTTGTTTTATTATTTACTTTATAATATTTGTGTTACCTGTTTTTATAGTTCATAAAATTTTTAAGTTTTATAAAATTCAAAAATGTCTTTGTTTATTTTTTTGTATAGAAAAATTTATGTTTATCATTATTTTGTACATCTTCCCAGTAGTCGTGCGTGGTTTTCCACCTCATTTGTCCATGAAAAAGTTTTTATTTAGACAACTTGGTCATGGCTATTTGCAAGTTTTATACACATTAAGCAATTCAGTACTTTGCAGCAAAAACTAAGTTTTAAAAAGAAAGAAAGAAAAAATAACAAAATAGAAAATTAAAATAAATTTAAATATAAGAAGAAGAAAAAAAGTTTTTAATTTAAATAATATGTGTTACTGTTTTTAGAATAATCTCTTTAGAGTGGTTGTTATTTACAGTAAAAATGTTGGATGAAGCAAGGCAAAATAATTTTAAATCGACATTTAAAAGACTGATTTTCTTATACTTTATTTGTTTTTTGAAAGAGAAAAGCAAAAATAAAAATTGCTATCTGTTTGTAAAATAAATTAGTATAATTTTGATGTTACAAATATATATTCTCCCTATATGAATACGTCTATGTAATGCATGCATGAATGTTAATAAACACTCATATGTTGGTTTGTTCATATATCCATACATATGTATCTACCTCATAGGCTCTACTTTCTACATCACTTTTTTCATTATTATAAATTTATTTAATCATCAGTATACAAGTATATAAGGGGTTTACTTTATGTTTAGAATGTCCATAGTTCCAATCCCACTACTGTCCAATTTTTCATTGTTTTTCTCTTAAATATCGCTGCTCATATATTTGCTTTGTAACCATTTCTTTTTTCTTTTTTGTAGGTTAAAAATCTTTCTGTTGCATGTTTTTAAATAATACACATCACTTCAGATTTTTTATAACATTTATATACTTAAAAACTATGTATATATTTACACATATATACATAGTTTTTAAGCTTCGTTCATACCATGCCGTCTACACATTTTTCAAATAGCCTTAATTGTTTCATTTTACCTCAATTCCTGTACATTTTTTATCCCTAACCTTTTAGCACTTTGTAATTTTGGATACCTGTTGCTTTTTAATATTCAGCTCAGTGCTCTTAGTTCTACTCGCCCCCTTTTGGTCTTATTGGTGAAATATAGGTAAACAATTGCTTGAATTTTGTGCATTTATACTGAACATCTGCCCAATACCTTTTAATAGTTTTTAGCCAGCTCTCACCCTAATATAATCTTTTCTCCTTCTTCCCTAAAACTCCTACAGCTGTATGTGTTCTATTAAAGTAATTGGTTATCAAGTCTGGTTGCGAATGATAAATGGTAATGTACCAAGTATACGTAAAGAAAAAATCTCTCGAAACACTAAATTTAATAGCAACCACCCTTAAAAAAATAAAATAAACAGCAAGTACACAATTAATTTCTTATTTTGTTAGTTATGCTTTTTTTTATTTTTGCCGCAGAGTATTGAAACACTTATTATATAAAACTTACAAATGGTCGTGACCAAGTTGTTTGAATAAAAAAATTTTCACGGACAAACTAGTAACATATAATTCAGCGCAACCTGTTTTGTACGTTCTTTAGCCACGGTGAGGGCAGGAAAAAAAACACTATATAAAACTTCCAAATTAAATATAGGCAAATAGGTAACCTTTAAAACACACACAAATATAAAAGTATATTAAAATCAACAATCTGATGTCATAAAATTATGTAATAATCGTTATCACATAAAGATTATGTGATAAAATAAGTACTTCAGTATTTACTAATATAAGTTTTTTAAATTTTTTTTCTTTTTTATATCTTTTTGCAATAAAACCGTATGAAATTTGGTAGTCAAAAAAAATTACCCATTTTTACAATTTTTACACAATTTATGCAGCAGTGAACTTGAATAATTTAAAAACTAGTTAATATCAAAATTAATAAAGCCCAAAAAAGAAACCAAAGTATTTGTTTATGGAATTTAAATTTAAAAAAATTTGTTGTCCATTCCTAATATAGTACTTAAAATGAATTCATTTTTAATTTGGTTAGCACTTGTTACTATTTGTTTTTAGATGGTTGAAAAGGTTGATAAAAAAAGTTAGAAGGTCTAACTTATTTGAACCTTAAATATTAAACAATGTTTTAAAAATTTTTTTTATTAAAAAAAAAATGTAGAGCTTCAATAATTTCTCTTCTTCACCCCAGTACCCCAGATATCTCTACCCCAGTACCCCAGATATCTTGGTTCTATTTTATATTATGTGGTGCTAAATTATGCCTGACATCTTTTGTGTGCGTTTTTGTCCTTTTTAAAATTATAATAATATAACTTGGGTAATCTTACAAAAATAATTTATGGTTTTAAAAATAATAATGCTGATATATAAATTCAATAATTTATCTTTTTAGCTTTACTATCAAGAAGCTGTTTCTTTAAAAACTGCAAATCTTTCTGTTTTTATGGATGAGTCCCGAATAGATGTTGGTATGACGACAGGTAAATTTACATTTCTGTTTAAATTAATTTAAAAATGAAAGATAATAACTCACTTATCATTTATCATTTAATTAATTATCAAACTTATCATTTAATTATCAAATGCAAAAGTGTTGCAAGTTATTTTTCCAGTGAAAAAGTTTATTTTTAACTGTTCTGAGTCATCAGAGGTTGTAGAAATTTTGTTTATCAATCAGTTTGTGTATTTCATAGAACTCTTCTGCTCTCTTATATTATTTGTAGAACTTATTTCTTTTCCATATACAATGTACAAGAACTTTGTCATATATAATGTGCAGGGACATTAGGCAAACAATGTATAAGGACTTTTATATATATATATATATATATATGTATATATATATATATATATATATATATATATATATATATATATATATATATATATATATATATATATATATATATATATATATATATATGTATATATATATATATATATATATATATATATATATATATATATATATATATATATATATATATATATATAATGTACTAGGACATTAGACAAATAATATATGCAAAAATATTAATTAAAGCATTTTTTTATCAGATATCTTGATATTAAAATATGCTTGATATTACAACATACTTTTTTTAATTTTTGAATTTGAATTTAATTAAGTATCAAGATAATAAAATATATCAGATATCTTGATATTAAAACAAGGTGTCCACTCTGCTGGAAAAACTGGAAAAAAGGCTGTTTTTAAAAAACACACTGGAATAACTGAAAAATAAATGCTTTAAGCAACATTGATGCTGGAAAAATTGGAGTTTTTTTTTTTAATTTCTGTTTAGTAGCTTAATTAGTGTTTAGTTATTAATTTTTGAAGGTTATTTTAAATCGTACTAACAATATTTATTATTTTCGAAGTTTTATATTTTTAATTTAGATTAGTATTGTTGTTTTAGTATTAATATGAAATTGGTTAAAAAAGTGAAGCATCTAAGACGATAAAGATGTATGGTTGAGTGATGATAAATTTAAAAATTGGCTAAGGAAAGATTTTAAAGATGATACTAAAGCATGAAATGTGGCAAACTACACTAAAGATGTATGGTTGAGCGATGATAAATTAAAAAATCAGCTAAAGAAAGATTTTAAAAATGATACTAAAGCATGAAGTGTGGCAAATTACACTAAAGATGTATGATTTGCCACAGGTCAAAATAACTTTCTTCAAGTGGGTGCTCTGTCCTGACAGATCACGCAAAGGAGCGAAGCACTATATAGAATTAAGAAAAGTGAAAGGATTCTTCGCCAAGCCCAAAGTGAAAAGTTCTTTACCATCTGTCTTTTCTGACTCTAATGAGTCAATTACAGAAAAACAAAAGAAATTAGACTTCAAAAAACTAGTTATGTCACTAAGGCTTAAATTTTTTGGCAGCTTAAATATGTGGATATGGTTTTCTCTACGTTCAAATGATTTAGCTATGTTTCCAGACTATGTTTCCAGCTATGTTTCCAGACAGTGCCATAGTATCACAATTTTAGATGGGTTGAAGCAAAACTCCTTACAAATTAAATCATGGTTTAGCTCTTTATTTTAAATCGGTTTTGTTAGAAGTTTTAAAAATGTCAGACATCCATGTCTATTCTTTTGATGAGAGTTTAAATGAGGTCACTCGAACTTCTGAAATGTTTAGGTATATTAGATTCCTGGATGTTAATAAAAATTGTATAAATGTCCATTATTTTGGATCAAATATTTTAGGTCATACAACACACCAAGACATTATTTATATAACTTATTTCAAGGGTTCTGTTTAAAATTTGGAAATAAAAAAGCTATACCAAATATCAAACAATGGTCCAAATGACAATCTGAAATTTTTTGATGAATCCAGTTAAGGTTTGACTGAAACTATTTTACATTCTCTTATTAACATCCAAACTTGCAGTTTTCATATTGCCCATGGCAGTTTAAAAACTAGAGAGGCTGTCACAGAATTGAATCTGAAAGTTTTAAGTTAATGCCTATTATATTTAAGTTAAGTTTTAAGTTGCTGCCTATTATATTTTATGTGATTGTCCTGCATAGACAGAAGACTATAACTCTGTTACTGGCTCTTTTGTCTATCCTCTTAACTTCTGCTCAACAAGGTAACTTTTTCTACTGTATTAGCACTATTTAAAACATAAATTCACATGCTTAAGACAATCAAGTTTTTACATGACACTTAGTTACTGGCAATTATAGTAAGACAGGCGACATTTGTTGTGAAACATCTGATTTGCTGACTGATACAAAAGTATTGACAAAAGAACCAATATGACTCGATATGATATAAAATATATCTAAATGGCATTTAATTTATATTTTAGATTGGCTGAAAAAAAAGGTGGTTAACAGGTTGATCAAAGTGTGGAATAGTTTAAAAGATTTTTTTTTCTAGCTTTATCTAAATCCAAACAACCAAAATGTAAAAGCTGATATATTAAAAAAGGCACTTTAAAATCACTTAATGCTTCTACATTTCTTTGCTTATATTGCAAATATAGTTAAACCTTTTCTGAACAAATACCAGATAGACTGTCAAATGGTTCCATATTTATTATTTGATGTAAAGGAAATAATAAACTTGAAGTTATTGCAAAACCAGATGTTCTTGAAAAATGCAGAAGCAGGAAATTGTTGAAAGATTTGGATCTTTTTTTGACTAGTTATCTGTTACCTGATGAAAAGCTTAACGCTGGATTTTTTATTTCTGAAGAGCTACATTATCTGAAAAAGAATAATTTGATAACATTGTCTCAAAGCAAAGAGTTCTTTAAGGTGGCCAAGAAACTTGTTGTTTCAATGGTGAAAAGCTTTTGTGACAAATCTCCATTGAATTAATGATTGATAAGAGTATTCAGTATCTTTGACCCTTTGATGTCTTGATGGATTTGACAAAACAAAAATTGGTTGATCATTTGAAAACTTTACTTGGATATTTCATGAGTTAAAGGATTTTATCACGACAGCAATGTCACTTGTTATCTTATTTTAAAGATTTTATGAATAATGAAGTCAAAGCCATAAAGCAAGAATATTTTAAGTTTATTCATTCAAAGGATCTTGATGATTTTTATTTTCAATGTGCTTGTGTCAGCAATTACATCGAATTATTTTTTTTCATTAAATTAATTTTAACACTTAGTCATGGCCAAGCTGCTGTTGAGTATGGTTTTAACATAAACAACTCTTCTGTTAAAATAATCATGACACTTTTAAGTATTATCTCCCGGAGAATTGCAAAGGACCTTCTAATTGCCAATGATTAAAAGCCGCACACAGTACAAATCACAGCACCATTGGTTAAAGCTTTTCGATCAAAAATGTATAATTGAGTTGGATAATGCTAAAAAAGAAAAAAAGGAAACAGAGAGCAAGAACAAAAGCATATCACAGCCAACATTGAAAAATTAAATCAAACAGTTAAGGTTGCAAAAAAAGCTGTATTAATGATAGAAAACAAAGTTAGAGAGTATATGGAACTTGTAGAGAAAAAAAATGACCTGAGTTATGTTAAGAAAGGAAATGGATTAAAAAGAAAATGTATTGAAACTAAACAAGAGGTTTATAGAAAGACAAATTAAAGAACTTGAAAATAGAAAAAAAAATTATAAAGTCAATTTATTTCAGTATATCTTATTGTTATTATTATCTTAAGTTGTTTGTCCTTTAAAGTTTTCTGATTTTGTGATTTATTGAGAAATTTTACAGTTTATTAATCTTAACTAAGATAAAAAAATGCTTTAAATAGATTGTGCCTTCTATAAGAATTTTTTTGATATAATACAAGTTGTTTTGATATAATACAAGTAGTTCTTTAATTTTTTTTGATATAATACAAGTAGTTCTTTATTTTAAGTAGTTATTTGTTACCTGCATAAGTATTTTGTTTTTGTTTTTAGCTTTTTTTTATGTTTTTAAGCTTAAATTTGTGTTTCAGTCATTATTATGACTGACTCTTTAGAGTTTTATTAAGTTTAATTTGTTTTAGTAATTCTGAAATTTGTTAAATTAAAAAAAGTGTTTTATTTAATTTTTTGCTTTTGTTCTCTTTTTTCTCATAATTCTCAATGGTGTTGAGTATATTACTAATAGTGTTAATGCTTTTTTAATTTATTACAGTCTTTTTCGATTAAGTTGAAGTACACAAATTTATTTAGTATTTAGTTTTAGATTACATACTTTTATGTTTATAAGTACAGTGGTTGTCTTTAAGACAATATTTGTATTATTTTAGAAATATCATTAGTGCTGGAATTTAAGTGCTTTTTTAATACTGATGCTGGAAAAAAATATCGGTTTCAGGACCAAAATCCTGGAAAAACATATCTAATTGAATTAATGAGTGCTGAAATTTTTTTAAATTTTTAGTGGACAAGCTGTAAAACATACTTGACATTACAGCATTTTTTTTTTAATTTGGTTTGAATTTGGATTAAGTATCAAGATTTTTTTAATTTTTTAAATTTCAATTCACCTCAACTTAAAAACTTACAAGGCGGAGAGACAAGTTAAGCATGATACTACCAGGGGCATAGTAGGGATCAAACTTGGAATTTCTTGCTTATGAGGCGAGTGCTCTGCCATTACCGCAAGTTTTCTGTTCCTGCACAGACACACACAAACTGTTTTCGTTTTTTATGTTTTATATGTATGAACCAAAATTCAATCTTATGTGATTCATTCAGGAAAATTGAATCCTATGACTGTTTCTTGCTCAATGAATTTTTTTTCCTTGAGCATCTGTAGTTGTAGTGATCTTCCACCTTCAAAATTTTCAGATTCTTACAAAATACAACTGTTTAAGTCTTTTGTCAACTGTTTTTTTGCTCTTTAATTATCTATTAACTCCCAACTCAAATAGTGTTTGCTAGCAGCATTGTTGGTAAATTTAATGAAAAGTTATATTTTTGACAAATTAAACTGTAATTATTGTTTGATAAAATTTTCAAATCAATCAAAAGCATTAGTTGTTACATTTCATTATTATATTATATTTTCAAAATTATTTTTAGTTGATATCTTTAAATGCAGCTTTGGTGACACTGATTGTACAACTTGTAAAAATAATCCCCAAATATGGAATTGTGTTTGGTGTGAAAGTCAAAAGACTTGTGTAACTACTGATAAATGCGGTTTTTTACCAAATGACCAAATCTGTCCTGGTCCAGTTATTTCAAAGGTTCTTGAGTAGTTTTTTTTTTTTTTAATTTCTCTTTTTGTTGTTGTTGTTGTTGTTGATTAAATTGAGGAAATTGTTTATT